TTAAGTGGCCTAGATGGCATCCAAAACATGCAAGTGGCCCTCAATAGCATGGTAGTGGCCCCCTATGGCCTATGGACTGATATATCAATTTGAGGGACATTGGGCCATTTCCTGTGAAAAAATTCAAAAGATGTCTGCAAAAAACAAAATGACCTTGAACTTTGGAGAAATCTACTATTCTAGTATCTTCTTTTCTAAGAAATATAAAGTACTAATGATACAGTACAAACATCTTCCAATATACTAAAAAAAACGTGCCATATTCGGGACATAGACACTAATGGGTTAAAGCTCTTCTTCTATCTAATGGTTCTATCTAATTGTTTATGGGAGGGGGGGTTATATTAATCCAATATGATGTTGCTATGGTAACCAGGTGAATATGCCAGGTGAATCAGAAAATGCATGGATAATGTAGATTAACTGACTGGCTTACTCGTTAGGGTATCATAGCTGCTTTTGTGATTATTTTCTTGAAATAAGGTAGAATTGCTCAAAATGATTCCAAATTGGTACCTTGTCCTTTGACATTCACAATAAAATGAGGCCAAAGCTGAGAAATATGATTGATTCTCATTCCATTTCTTTACAAGTATGAATATCGAAGCGTAAATGCCAAAGAGAAAGGACCAAACACTGTAAAGAAACCCAGCAAGAAAAGCAAACTTCCATTTAATGAAAATTTCATATACACCAGAGCTATCATGATGACAAAGATAGAAGCAAAACTTTGGAAAAGTCGTGAAAAATGGGAACGGCATATTCACCTGGTTACCATAGCTAACATAGGCATAGCCAGGGGGTGTAATGAGTGCATCCCCCCCTGTAACCAATAAAAATAGAACCATTAGATAGAAATAGAGTTTTAAAATGCATTTGACTCGAAGCTTCTAGCTCAGTTTTGAAGGAAGTTGCATCTACTTTTGTAAAATTAAACAAAATCTTTAAAAACAATTGTGTCGAACCCCCCCCCCCCCACCACCCCCCCCCCGACTGAGAGCGTGCTGCGCCCCTGATTAACAATTGCCCTTATGACATCATAGTATAACACAATCCAAATTAAATAATTTTCTATAGTTATTAGGTTATTTTCTGTCACCAAATTTTAAAAAGAATACATGTCAGTCAAATGGTCAAAATGTAACATTTCCTAAAGAATTCTCTTGTTTACAGCGGATCGTTTTGCTACTTGCTGTTACCATAGCAACAGCGTTAATTGGACACTTTCATTACATTTATTCAATGTTTTATGACCATACATGTATGAATGTAATAAACTAATAAACTCAACTAAAAGGAATAAACTAATTAACTGGTTAAAAGCATTATTGACCATTTTAAAAATAATAATTTCGCAGATTTATATATCATGATTGAAATAAAATACACAAAACAAAGAGTTATGACGTCATAATTAATATGCAAATCACCCTATTTGCATATCTTATAAACTGTATGATTGCTTCATCTATTACCTTTCATTTGGTGCAAATTTCATCGAAATCTGAGCAATAATGATGAAGATATGGGCCAAACACAGAAAAGAGCCCCTAAAAGTGGGTGTGGCATATTTACTTTGTTACCATAGTAACGCTGCCGCGGATTCAGAATTGCCAACTTAATGTATTTTGATTGCATTATCTATTACCTTCCATTTAGTGTGAATTTCATCGAAATCTGAGCAATAATGAAGGAGATAGGGGCCAAACACTGAAAAGAGCCCCTAAAAGTGGGCGTGGCTTATTCACTTGGTTACCATAGCAACGCCGTCGCGGATTCAGAATTGCCAACATCATTTTTCTTGGTAAGTATCACATATAGTTCATAAAAATATATGTCGCTTAGCTCGCCTCTAAAAAGGACACGGAATTACCTTTGCTCCCATACTATCTTGGAAGCCAGGCAGTATCTGTGTGATTTTATAAAAATTCGGAAATGTTCTTCAGATATGAGCTCCCTCTAAATATTGGGTGCGGAGGTACGTTTATGGAGCTCCTCCGCACCCAATATTTAGAGGGGGCACATATCTGAAAAACATTTCCGAATTTTTATAAAATCACACAGATACTGCCTGGCTTCCAAGATGCAGAAATAATTTGTATAGATAGTGTACCTTGAACACCATTTTTTATGAATGCTGGGGACTCAGTATTAAAGGATAATTTCAAAATATATAGGTCTGGGAAAGGTTTAAGGCACACTGCGTCGCTATAGAATGAATTGCGCTACTATTTTCACAATTGTATTGATATTTGGTGTCAAATACACATATCTTGGTATATTTGAAGTCCCAAAACGGCTTAGTTTCAGAAATATCCCAAATTTAAATTCAAAAATGACCGTTAGCTCCGCACCCTCCGCTCATTTGCTCCGCACCCAATATTTCCCACAGGCTCTGTCTGCATAGGGTGAACTAGGCCTCGACAAAATGTCAAAGATATTTTTAGATGTCTTTTAAAACTAAAACTGTGAAAAGGATGTCCCATAGAAGTAAAATGCAGCTCGTTTCTTAGGAGATGCCTGTTTAGGATCCAGGCTACTGGAGATCTTTAGACAGTAAAAGTAAAAATCTCGCCACATTGACTTATTCTGACTGTAGAAGAAAGCCCTCCCATAAACTCCCTCTAAACGCATCTAGAAGTATCATCATTCAAATCTTACAATAGAAATAAATAATGATACTTTTGAATGTCATTCTTACAGTGCGTTACAACTTTGATATTCTATCAATCAGAGAAAAATTGTACAATTGTCGATGAATAATTACATCCTCATCTCCTTAAGCTAGAAAGTAAAATGAAAGAACTGGACGTTAGTTACTTTTAAGTAGAACGATGACATCAGACTTTTTGATATCTTAGTAGAACATTGCAAAATAAAAGTAGATTCAGATGTCTCGATAGAGAGAGAGAGAGAGAGAGAGAGAGAGAGAGAGAGAGAGAGAGAGAGAGAGAGAGAGAGAGAGAGAGAGAGAGAGAGAGAGAGAGCAATATTCTTAACTGTAATTTGTTTTCCGGGACTGCTTGATAAATCATATCCATACCATTCTAATTGTTTGTTGTATTGTGTCTGATTTCTAAAAAACACTACACTCCAATACTACACGAATTCTTTTTAACTATTTACAAGAATAATGTGACTATCCTTACACTACAATAACAAATCAGGTCATCAAAGTATACCTATGACTCAAAAACACCAGAAATTACATTTAAATAATATCTAAACCATAATATCTGACCATAGACATTTGGCTTAATTGTCAGTTCGCGAATAAAATAACTATTATACTTTATAAAGTCTTTTGGACTCTATTTTTTCAACAATGAGCAAACCAATGACTAACGATCCCTTCACTAATCACCACTAATGACCTCATTACTTGTTGGTTGAACGCAATCGTTCGTTGACCGTAAATTGGCAATCGATTGGCATAGTTATTGTACATCCGTTGAGTCCTCGATATCCCACCAGTTCTTAACATTGTTATTTGTTTGACCCAAAATCATTGAAGTCCAGACCATGATCATCATAATTTTTTTATTTACTTTTTATTTCTGAGTAAAACATGTTATACAATTTTATACAATACAGCGTTATTTTGTTGATTTAAATGAAATATCATTTGAACCAAAAAAGGAAATATTATTTCGAATTTGACTATTTTGGAGAGCTCATTCTCACGTTTAATAGTTTCATGTAAAAGGTTTGGCCAATTTCGCTGAATATGTCTCCATATGACAGAGGTAATATCATGGTTAGGTTGGGCACGTTCCACCCTTGGTATACGCAGCTAACGAAAATTGACCGGTACGGGTCAAAAGCTGGACCGGTACGGGTTAACGGTTTCATTTGAATTTAAAACAGCCATAACTTGCTCAATATTGACTTCCTCGTGTCTAATTTGAAATATATGATGCCTCCCGATGCTTTTAAGTACCCCAATTTTTTACAGATTTTTAAACGGACCAAAACTCTCTAAATGCGCATTTATGCTCTTTTCTCTCGAGAACGACTGTCTCATTTTCACGATAACTTTTATTTAGTACTTGTAACATATAAGATCTATTTTTCCCCATCAAGGTATGATGTAAATGACATGCTATTTACATCTTGTGAGTTTCAATGACGCTCGTTTGATTTTATAAAAAATGCCAAACTTTGTGACAAAGAATTTCATCCTGCTTGCAGCGAGAAGACGGACCGGTTCGGGGCAATAGCATGAACATAATTTAGGAATCTTTATACATGTGTGTTATTGACCCGAACCGGTCCGTCTTCTCGCTGCAAGCAGGAGGAAATTCTTTGTCACAATGTTTGGCATTTTTTATAAAATCAAACGAGCGTCATTGAAACTCACAAGATGTAAATAGCATGTCATTTACATCATACCTTGATGGGGAAAAATAGATCTTATATGTTACAAGTACTAAATAAAAGTTATCGTGAAAATGAGACAGTCGTTCTCGAGAGAAAAGAGCATAAATGCGCATTTAGAGAGTTTTGGTCCGTTTAAAAATCTGTAAAAAATTGGGGTACTTAAAACCATTGGGAGGTATCATATATTTCAAATTAGACACGAGGAAGTCAATATTGAGCAAGTTATGGCCGTTTTAAATTCAAATAAAACCGTTAACCCGTACCGGTCCAGCTTTTTGACCCGTACCGGTAAATTTTCGTTAGCTGCGTATACCAAGGGTGCGTTCACGATATCCAAATAAACTGTACTGCATGTTATGTTAGTAGGCGTTCGTTTGAAGACTCGCTGACGAAGGAGAACCGGACAGATGTACACTATTTTTATTTTTATTTATTTTATTTTTTTACAGTACACTATGATGAATGTTCATTAAACTCGAACACAAAAATCTCATCACTGTTCGGTTCATCGAAACACTAATAATTCAAAAAGAATCCAGCAAAACATATCTAGGGTTGCATTTTTGAGTCAAAATGTAGTTTTGAACGAATATTTATCTATTATCTCCTTTCTTTTTCAGAACGGCAAAGTAATGGTTAATTATAAATGGCTAAAAGATCTAAGAAAACGCAATTTTGACTCTATTGACGGCAGTTCTTCATTTGCTAAGAAGTCATTCGACTCCATTAATGGAGATGCAGGATTTGTAAAGAAATCATTTGACTCTATAAATGGAGACGCAGGGTTCGCAAAGAAATCATTTGACTCTATAAATGGAGACGCAGGGTTCGCAAAGAAATCATTCGACTCTATTAATGGAGATGCAGGGTTTGCAAAGAGATCATTTGACTCTATAAATGGAGACGCAGGGTTTGCAAAGAGATCATTTGACTCTATAAATGGAGACGCAGGGTTCGCAAAGAAATCGTTCGACTCCATTAATGGAGATGCAGGGTTTGCAAAGAAATCATTTGACTCTATAAATGGAGACGCAGGGTTCGCAAAGAAATCGTTCGACTCTATTAATGGAGATGCAGGATTTGCTAAGAAATCATTTGACTCCATAAATGGAGACGCAGGATTTGTTAAAAAGTCTTTTGATTCCATAAATGGTGATGCGGGGTTTGCAAAGAAATCGTTCGACTCTATTAATGGAGACGCAGGATTTGCTAAGAAATCATTTGACTCCATAAATGGAGACACAGGATTTGTTAAAAAGTCATTTGACTCCATAAACGGAAACACGGGCTTTGTCAAGAAATCATTTGACTCCATAAATGGAGACGCAGGATTTGCTAAGAAGTCATTTGACTCCATAAACGGAAACACGGGATTTGTCAAGAAATCATTTGACTCTATCAATGGAGACGCAGGATTTGTGAAAAAGTCTTTTGATTCCATAAATGGTGATGCGGGGTTTGCAAAAAAATCGTTCGATTCTATAAATGGAGACGCAGGATTTGCAAAGAAATCCTTTGACTCTATAAACGGAGACTCGGGCTTTGTAAAGAAATCTTTCGACTCCATAAATGGAGACACAGGATTCGCAAAGAAATCATTCGACTCTATTAATGGAGATGCGGGATTTGTTAAGAAATCATTTGACTCTATAAATGGAGACGCAGGATTTGTTAAAAAGTCTTTTGATTCCATAAATGGTGATGCGGGGTTTGCAAAAAAATCGTTCGATTCTATAAATGGAGACACAGGATTCGCAAAGAAATCATTCGACTCTATTAATGGAGATGCGGGATTTGTTAAGAAATCATTTGACTCTATAAATGGAGAAGCAGGATTTGTGAAGAAAGCTGTTGGTAACTTTTTGAGAGGGCATCCCGGGTTCGCTGATGGTAAACCTAAAAGGCATTTTGATTCGATCGACAGCTTTTCGTCTTTTGTCAAAAAACTGGCAGGGAAGCACAGATATAAAAGGTCACTTGACTCCATTTCTTACCATGGTGATTTTGGTAGTCGATTTGCGAAACGTAACTTCCTTCCGTTATACAACATGGAGAGAAGAAACCCATTTGAAGAGGGCTACTACTATCATAATAATCGTCCAGTGTTTTTCAAACGGTTTGATTCCAACAGTCGCGGAAATGGAGTGTCTGGTTATGCTAAAAGACATTTTGATTCTATTAACGGACCATCAGGCTTCGCCAAGAAATCATTTGACTCAATAGATGGCATGTCGGGACTTGTGAAGAAGTCGTTTGATTCAATTGACGGAATTTCGGGATTCTCCAAGAAATCGTTTGATTCCATATCCGGTAATGCACTGGCTGGGTTTGCTAAGCGATATTTTGATTCCATTGATGGCACTGGGATGTCACGTCTAACTAAACGGTCGCTTGATAAACGCCGACCACTAGACAGAATTGATAGGCCGAATGACTGGCGGATGATTCTGTCACCCCAGTTAAAAGAAAACAGCAGAGGTAATACTTTTAAATCACATTATCTTCAAATGACGGTGCTCTAATTTTATAATTGCGTTGCATTAATCCACATGTTTGATCGAAATTAATTTAAAGTTTATTCCATCTCTACGAACCCTCAAACGTTACGTTCCATAAAAGCATAAAGAAAATGAGAATCAAAACAGAAACGTTGGCCTTACGTCTACAATTTTCATTTGAAGAAAGGAGATACAATACCATGCAAGTCATTGTGACCTACTTAGACAAAATGTAGGTCAAATGAACCTTTGGTCTAATTTAAATGACAAATTCTTGACTATTTATTAACTCTCACCAAAAATATCTTGACAATGATATACGGAGCAATTTGGGACTAGGATAAACTGATTTTATGAATGTTTGAAGTAAATGTAAAAAATATTTTAAATCCTCATTATGGACGCAAAACCGTTGCACGGTGACCTTTGAGCATTTGCGCATCTATAAGGGTCAAGGATTGTTTCCTTATATGTGTTTCTTATGTGTGTTTGCTCTGTTACGTGTTGCAGTTAAAAGAGACCAAGCAGCCGTCCTAAAAAAGAACTAATGGTACTTGTATGACCTACATTATATGTACTTGTATGACTTATTATATGTACGTGTGTTTTAGAAAGTGTATAGAACGTTTCTATGACTCCAACCATGTTGTTAGCAGTTTATTAACACGATGTATATCTTCTTTTTAGATATAAGAAAAATGGTTTCATTTCTTTTTGTTTCAAATGTGTTTGTTTTTTTGTTTGTATATTGTTTGTAAGCGTGTCATGTGTTTATATATTTGTTCGTTTCTATATATTTGTTTACCAGTTCGTATTGTACAACCGCCACTACGCTAAGAGTTAGCACAGAGCACCAAACAGGCACTGTAGTACTAGTACACCCCCTCAATAAGTTACTAAATGGTAATTCACTATTCTGACTACATGTTAACCCGTTTATTTCGTATGTACTTAATTAAACCTGCTAAAGAGTACTAAAGCAGAAAACAATAACTGGCGTTTGTTCAGATATTTTCTAAACTTATTGAGGGGGTGTATATGGCTTGGTGTATATTTGTGTTTATTCTGTGTTAAAGTCATTGTGTAGTTTCTGTGTAAAGTATTTACTCAAAAGTTACACCCCCTAAGAATGAATATTTGTATTCTCCAATTGTAAAAGTTCACCTTTCATTCTTCCATCTGGAAAAGGGGATAACGGTGAAAAACTGGAAAATGGACGACTCGTTAAAACGACTAAAATTTCAGAATCGTATAAATTCAGCTGTACCTCACTACTTGAAATCCAAATATAGGTAACTGTTATGCGATAATAATAATCTGAAGATACACCCTATGCAGACAGAGCCTGTGGGAAATATTGGGTGCGGAGCAAATGAGCGGAGGGTGCGGAGCTAACGGTCAATTTTGAATTTAAATTTGGGATATTTCTGAAACTAAGCCGTTTTGGGACTTCAAATATACCAAGATATGTGTATTTGACACCAAATATCAATATAATTGTGAAAATAGTAGCGCAATTCATTCTATAGCGACGCAGTGTGCCTTAAACCTTTCCCAGACCTATATATTTTGAAATTATCCTTTTAATACTGAGTCCCCAGCATTCATAAAAAATGGTGTTCAAGGTACACTATCTATACAAATTATTTTTGCATCTTGGAAGCCAGGCAGTATCTGTGTGATTTTATAAAAATTCGGAACTTTTTTCAGATATGAGCCCCCTCTAATTATTGGGTGCGGAGGAGCTCCATAAACGTACCTCCGCACCCAATATTTAGAGGGGGCTCATATCTGAAGAACATTTCCGAATTTTTATAAAATCACACAGATACTGCCTGGCTTCCAAGATGCAAAAATAATTTGCATGGGTAGTGTATCTTGAACACCATTTTTTATGAATGCTGGGGACGCAGTATTAAAAGGATAGTCTCAAAATATATAGGTCTGGGAAATGTTTAAGGCATACTGCGTCGCTATAAAATGAATTGCACTACTATTTTCACAATTTTATTGATAATTGGTGTCAAATACACATATCTTGGTATATTTGAAGTCCCAAAACGGCTTAGTTTCAGAAATATCCCAAATTTAAATTCAAAAATGACCGTTAGCTCCGCACCCTCCGCTCATTTGCGCCGCACCCAATATTTCCCACAGGCTCTGTCTGCATAGGGTGAGATAGGATGGTTAGGAATATTGTCATGAAAGTAGCTGTCACATTACGGCCGTGTTGGGTCACCGTTCGTCACCGTGTGAATAATTTTGGGTATTCATTCTAAAATTGATAAATCAATTTTTGTTTTTTGGTGTGAGGGAGGTATCTTGCTGTAAGACGTTGTTTTGCCCACAGTGCCATGCCATGCGACGCCCTCTGCCCCTGATTATTCACACGGTGGCGAACGGTGAGCCCACATGGCTAGCGTGACAGCTCCATGAAGGCAACATGGAAATGTTTTTATCATTAAACAAATACCAAAAAGAAGCCAAATAAAGTGTTTCAAACTTTCCACGTGACTATCAAAAAGTCTCAGGAGCAATGGAATTCTGCGTCATTGTAATTATCCTTTCTAAATATTGTATTCTATAATCTGGAACGTTGCTAAGGGAACTCTCCTGGCAAAGCCATTGTTTTATTGACCAGGTTGCTAACCAATTATCTATAACCCAGGCCAAGTAAAAATATGTGAAAAGGAGTATTCCTTTAAGACTAGTTGCCATTTAGATAAAAACAGCGCACTGCACGATTCGATCCAAGTCAATTCGACAATAGCACGTCGGTCGCTCGAAAATTAAAAATATGTTTTTCATTTTTGCAGGGATGTGCCTTAAGTCCAAGAAGTACTGTTCGTTACTTTCTCAAATGCTACTCACAACAGGTGTCGCCACATTCAGAGGGTAACCATAGGCAATTGTTGGAACGGTACTAATTGAATGGTATTTAATCAAAATCAAAATTATACAGACTATCAAATCGATGCATATATATTTGTTTATTCATTCCACATTCATGAAGCCCAACACCAGAACAAAAACAACCACAGGGCAACGTGTACAGTACGTTTAAAAAGTTGAGATACGATTCCACTGGAAGATCTTGTTTTGGAACTCAAACATTTGTTCTTCGTCCTTTTAGTATCTACATCGTTGCTCAGAATCATTGAATTCTTCTTTTCTCAATTATTGACATACTAGTATTTTAATAAATCGAAATGCGTTCAGATGTTTTTCAATGACAACATTGAAATTTATGTCCGACTCCATTAAATGTCCTAAAATACACTTCTCTTTTTGTTTGTTCAAGATCTATAGAAATAAAAGTGAAACCTTGTGGAACATTCTAAAGAAAAGAGGGATTATCTTCGTGTCCTGCCGAATTTTCCCTGTGATATTTGAGCAACGGTGTATCTATAAAAAGCATATATTTTTTTGAGAAATAAAACTTCATGCAGAAGAACAGTTCTTTGAATTGTTTCTATTTTTACATCTGGAGTTCATGCTGGATTGTGATTGATTGTATATTACCTCTTGATCTGAATAAAATTAAAGTTATTATCGTGAATTTTGTTCTGATATGTTTCATTGCACTTAACTCTCAGTCACATTTGCTCAACGTTGGCGCATGTGGGCCGTAGCCTCACAAAATCGATATAGAAAATCGACATCGCACTGCTTATCCCTATATTTTATGCTGCTGCACACATTTCTCTCGATTTTGGAAAGCTACGGCCGCCGTGCGGTTGTCGTAGATCAAGTGTGATTGAGGCTGTATGCACCCCTTTAAAGCCCCAATATAGATTTAAACTACTTTGGCTTATATTGTAGTCTTCCCCAATGTGTGATATGTGAAACTTTTTTTTAATTTCAAAGAGCGATTTTTAGGGAATTTATTTAAAACTAACTTTTAAAGGCCACACGTGTTTTCCAACAACAGAATTCACATCGATGGTTAGCATTCCTCCTCACGTGTTTTTTGCCGAAAAGTTAAGAAAATTGATTCATAAAAAAGCCAGAAATGAACTCATCAATTCATGAAAATGGTTCAGAGAAAAATGCATTTCAAAATCTTAGTTCTCGTAGAAACCAATGGAACAATCATATTTAAAACACAATATAATTTTTCCTTTTAACCTGGTTAGACGATCAACTTTGGTTTAGGTTTATTTTGAAGTAGAAAATATTTTTCTCGAAAAGTTTTTGCCACCTGAGTGACACGGGTTGTCATCGAAAAATTTGTCCAGCTTGATGGAGCATGCTATTTCTTTCATAGACACTAAGAAAACTTCACAAATTATTTTTTTTAACTCATATGTTTCATTAATATACCAACGAGAATTAGCTACTCCATGCAATGAGTATATCATTTACGGATAACCTACACTTCTGTTTGAAGTCTAACAACGCTAAGAGTAAAAGCTATTGAAAACGGCGCCGGAGTATCATACTCCAAAATGTACCATTTCTTGTTTTTACTTTTTAATGACACGATAAAGTTACATGATAATATTCATTATATATTTGCAGCTTAAATCTGAAATTAATTTTAATTTTTTTTATGAAAAATAATGTTTAATTTTTTTGTCCAGCTTGATGGAGCGCAGTTTCAAATGTGAAATACAAAACTGCAAAAAATTAAACAGTCTTTTTGATAAAAAATTATAAAGACCCAATGCATCTAGATCTTACCTTCAGAGTTATGCTGAAAATAGATATTACCATGTCATATCGTACCATTTAAAAGAAATGATACATTTTAGATTATGATACTCTGACGCCGTTTCAATAGGTTATCTGCAAATGACAGTAGAGTAGTTCATTTCCTTTGGAATAACGAAACGTATGAGTTAAAAAAAAATTGTGAAGTTTTCTTAGTGTTTTTATGAAAAATAGCATGCTCCTTCAAGCTGGACAAATTTCTCGATGTCAACCCGTGAGTGATGCCACGATGATGTCAGTTAGGTTGCAAAATATTTCTTATATGCTAAAACTTTAAAGTGGCACATTCGATATGATATTTTATCATTAGAACAGTACACATGTTAACCGCGCATGTCAATTTACCTGAGATAATGCAAATTCAAAATTTTTGAGTTGTACCTTACCGTTACCCTGCATTTTACCGTATACTACAATCTGAGTTTTTGTTGGCTTAACTATGAAATTCTCTGTCAAGTTCACTGTCTAGGATGTTATTATAGACATTTACATATAGAAATATCAAGAAACTAGACCAGATCTTTCTGAACGACACCAGTTATGTTTGCTCCGATATGGAGAACTGAATTCAACAATGTTTTTCTCTTAAATCAATCACTGAAAACATTCTGTAAAAAATTATGGTATTTTATGTAATGTTGACTGATTGACAACAATTTAATGCGAAAATTATTTAGAAATATTTTATATAACTGTTTTTGTTAACATTTTTTGTTTTTTAGTGCAATTGTTTTTGCTCCTTTCTACCAATTCTTGAGAATGAAATAAAACGTCTTTCCGAACCTTTTTGGAACAAAATAGCATATACAACATGTTTTTAGACCTCTCAATATGAAAGCTATACAAAGGAACTTTTGGTTGATTTTAAAAAAGTATTTAAAAAATTAAAACAAAATCCCCCCAAAATAGATAAAAATCAAGAAAAACCTTTTATTTCATTAACAAAATACTTTTTTAAAATCAACCAAAATTTCCTTTGTACAATTACAATATTGAGAGAACTTAACATGTTGTGTTTATGTCGTTTCGTTCCAATGAGGTTTCATTTCACTCTGGAAACATGATACCAAGAAGTTCAAGAACAAAACAGGTGTTTGATGTGTTCTTTAAAACAATATAGATGAAAGTATGTATATCTATTTCAAATTATATTGTTACCATTCAAAAGATGGCCATTAAATTGACAATTTGTAAGATTTTCAGAAATTTTTGATGACTGGTTTAAGAGAAACGTGTGTTCAAAAAGTTCGCCATATCGATACCCATTCTTTGGTCACCCTCTTGTTGTACCTTACCCCGCGCGTTCAACTGTCACGCTTAATTCACTGGTGATCAGCTCGATAAGGCTACGCTGGTTACCGAAACGGTTCGTTACGGTTACAAAATGTCGGAACGTCGAAGATTCGATTATTCAGGAGTCGTAGGCAGAATCCCCACGACATCTTTTCTCACAAACGTATAGCAGTATCATATGTTTTAGAAAATGTAAATGATTTCGAAAAAATAGCTCAGAGAATCGTCGATTTAATTCCTCACACTTAAGTTACATAAACGGTGGGGCTCAGAAAGTGAGATCTTAACTGTTTTTCGAAATACCGTTTATGTAACTTAAGTGACGAATTAAATCGACGATTCCGGCCGTATCTTCTGAACTATTTGTTCGCAAATGTGTATATTTTCTTAAACATATGATACTGATACACTTTTGTGATAAAAATGTCGTTGGAATTCTGCCTACAACGTGTGAAATAAGCGAAAAAGAAAAATCGTACCTTCGACGTTCCGACATTTTGTTACCGAAACGGTTCCAGCGTAATCGAGTGGATCACCAGTGTAATTAGTGGTACACACCCTGTGGAAATACCGGGTAGGTATGATATAGAGAATAATTTCAGACAGTCTTATCTCTGACCAGGACTATAATCTGACTTATCCAACATGTTTTGATTGAAATGCTGTTTTATTCGTAGTGAAGTTATCGCCGGGGAAAATAAAAATTTCAATTTATAATCACTGCGAAAACCATTGTTCAGAACAAATTTTCAAAAAGTCGGACTCATTTTTCAAAATAGGACCATTTCTTTTCATTTCGTCATATTAATGTATTAAAAGACCATTTTGTACTAAAGGGGACCAGTATTGAAATACGATCAAGCTCGGATCAATGATCCCATGTTAATTTCTCACAGCTGGGCCACTCATGCTATCCATATTGTTTTCACACGGTCTCATTTTGGTCACTTTTTTATGTTGCGAGCGAACCCCCCATCCCCTGACCAAAAATAGCAATAGGTCTATGGTACATTCTTAAAATTTGTTTTTGTTCTGTACAAATGATTATTGAATATGGCCTACTTTTCTACTTTTCATCGACCTTGGGCTAAAAGTGGAGAAGTGTTTCATGATTTCAGTGTACATTTTAAAATGAGTTGTAAACCATACAGTTGGGGACAAAAATAAATGACAGGTCGATTTTCGATCACCATTTCCTAATTATGGTGATCTGAAAGCCCATAATTTCCAATATTGTCTAGATACATATCCCTTAAAATTTGTATATTTTACATTTTGTATAATCTCATCCACTGATTTATGGCCTCTTGTAAATTCTCTTATTTTTAACATGGGAAATCCTCACTTCAGCAAATCCACCTGTCATTTATTTATGTCCCCAACTGTAGATCTATTTTTTAAATGTTAAGGTTCAAATTGTATTCTATTCAAATTATATCACTGTTAAACTATATATCTGCTTTAAATGGGCTTATTAGCCTTTTGCGGATTATTGATGTATTGTAGATGTAGATGTAGAGGGAAAGGATTTCCCGGGTATTTTTGCGTATACTATTTCGTTCAGTGTATACTGATCCATTTCCGGATCCGTTTTAAACAAGGAAGTAAAATATTTTAGATCAAGGCATATTTTGGCGTTTTATGGTTCTTTGTCATGGCTTTCTCCAGTTCTAATGACTCAGATGATAACTTTGACTATTTGTTTAAAATTGTCTTGATTGGTGATGCTGGAGTTGGAAAGACCTGTGTGGTACAAAGATTTAAATCTGGAACCTATATTGAAAGACACGGTAGCACAATTGGCGTTGACTTCACAATGAAGACACTCATGATTGATGGCAAGAAAATTAAGGTGAGCCACTTTAGATAACGCATAAGTTTAGCCTAACATGTATATAAATTAATCCCTGAGGTTCAACCTTTCTTGCTCACCATCAACCGCTCAAGCTTCATTCAAACACTTCATCTTCAAAAAATTTAGATCCCAGGGATCGTTACATGTACTGTACATTAGTTGGCTATTTGCTTCATTTTAATTTTATGTATGTTTATTTCATTTACTAAAACCAGAGGAAATAAAGAATCTACTTCTTATGGCCTAATTGTTATTGGGTTTTCTACATGTAGATCATTGAGCCCTGAGTGTATTCACACAGAACTTATATTTGGTAGTATCCGCATCCGGACAAAAAAAGAACACATTGGGAAAAATCAAAATCACATACAAATTCAAAAGTTCACTATGTCTACTCACATGAATGGTGTTTCAATTTCATGTTTACAGCTTCAAGTGTGGGATACAGCAGGTCAAGAGAGATTCCGTACCATAACACAAAGTTACTACCGTAGTGCCAATGGCGTTGTTGTTGCGTATGATATCAGTAAAATGGAGTCATTTGATAGTGTATCACGTTGGTTGGAAGATGTGAAAAGATATGCAGGTCCAAATGTAGTGCAGTTGCTTATTGGTAAGTAGTTACTAGCTTACATGTATGTGCTTCATATATTGCCTCCTGGGAAAGACAAAGTTAGTCTTGCTTCAAGTCTTTGAACCCCCCTTATCTACTTCACCACTTGTGGGGAGATGTGCATTGGTGGGAGGGGGGGGGTCATGAGGGCTCATAGCTAGACTAAGACCCTCATAAAAATGTGTGGCTACATTTCGAATATTTGGGCCTTTTTCTAAAATAGGCCCAACAAAATATTAAAAGAAATCAGGGATCCATATTTCACACTTTTCACCTTCTATTTTATTCCCAATTCTGCCCTTGGTTCCCTATTCATTGATCGTCAATAGAAATAGTGCCACATCTATTTTTTATATGCTCAATTGTGTCTCTTCTGCAGGAACTAAGAGAGATTTGGAACACATAAGAGAAGTCCCTCTAAAAACTGCTGAACTATTTGCCATCCACCATGAAATGCTACCTGTAATAGAGACAAGTTCCAAGGATAATACAAATATAGAGCAGGCTTTCATCAAAATTGCCACAGTAAGTCATTTATTTCATAATTTGTATTCTTGTAGAAAAATTGTTTCAGGGAGTGATATTGAAACTATAAAATTTATTTATGACTTGAAATTGAAATGTTTAAAGGTTTTCAAACCCTTTTGTGTCGATAATGTAAACAATTATTTCCTTAACATTGAGCTTACTAATAACTAAGTTTCAGTAATCTGAACCTATCTGTTAACATTTTTTAATCCCAATGATAATATTTTATTACAGCAATTTATTTTGGAAAAATGTTTGAACGCCCATTGTCCATACTTCTCTCAAAGATAATTTAAACTATAATTTACCCCACATTTTTCAGTTTTGATCAGCAAATGTATGAAGTGTTTTTGAAAATTTCTTATTGTGAACATTCTCAGAATTGTACATTATACATTAATTACATGTACATGTGCTCATTAGGCCTAGACCATACATTATAATGAAAACTTCAATGATTTTCCAGGAACTTAAAGAGAGGCATGGAGGTGGCTCAGGGCTAACAGAGGACAATTCAAATAAAATATATCTAAATACACATTCCATAGGGCGCAGTTGGGGAGCCTGCTGTGGAAAATGAGATCTGAACTGAGTTGAAATGAGAAAGGATGTGTCCGGGTATATGCCCTTTTGGTCCCTCAGTCAAATGTATGTTAAATATGTTTTTTATTACTGTCCTAGTTATATTTGATAAGTATATTTACTTTTTCACGAGTTTTGATGCATAATTAACCCCCTGCTGAGAGTCAGAATAAGTATCTTAACAAACAAAAAAATAGTCATTATCGTAGAAAAAAACATCAATGGCAACATGTATGACTTACAAAGAAGAAATAACTTAAGACCCATGAAGAATTTAAAAGAAAATCATATTTTTGAAATATATTTAAGGATTAAAATTTTTTTCAAATTTTTGAATTTCCCGCCAGTTTAATTTGAAGGGGGAAAAACAAGATGGCTGCCATTTGATGTAAGAAATATCAGAAAAAAAGTTGCTTCACTTTTAGTTTTCACAATGAGCACAGTTTTCCGGTTTAGGTTTTTTGACTGATTCTGACTCTTCATCACCAGGGTCATGTATAGAGATTATAAAATTGAAACCGTAATGTTGTGCTCAGCATGAATTTGACTGAAATATGTGTAACTTCACCAACACAATTGAAGTCTCAAAACTGGATGCTCAGTAACTTTGAGTGACTATAATCCCTTGATTACCCAGATAAACACCAATTCACTTATCCAGAAATGCCATTCAATGTCTATACAAAGAAAGTAAGCAATGTTTTGGAGGATATGTTTCAAACCTTTTGCAGAAATAATTCATTTAATATTTGCCATTGATTTTTTTTCAATTCTGACAAAGTGATATGCACTGTCTTTGATGCCAATATTCTTCATTAATTGTGATATAAATTGATATTTTTGTACTCTCAGAAGAAGGATAAGATATTGAAGTTTAATAACATGTGTGATTGAGTTGGTTTTTCAGACATTACAATTTTCAATATTTTCTAAGTCGATACCCAGACTCATTCCCAGACTCATCCTTTAAGCCCCGTGCATGGAACAATGGAAATCATGGTGTCATAAATATTTATTGACAAATGACCGACTAATACATGTATGTATGGCATCTTACAGTTGGTTAGGCCATGCTCTGTAACACAAATGTGTGCGAATAGAGAATGGTATCAAAGCATACATAATGCTTGGATTGTGTTGAAAGCTGTATGCCAAAACCAGATTTAATCAAGGGGTCAATTTTAAAATCTGGTGAATTTTGCCAGAAAATAACCATTTTTTGTTGAACGAAAATTCAGCCAATTTAAGGATTTGACTGAGCATTTTGCTCAAAATTTGACATTCTTATCTTTAATATTTGCTGCTATATTTTGCTAATTCTTATGTAGGAAGGAAGAAGTTGACAATTTTTCCAAAATTTTGCCTACAAAGATTTGCCAATTTTGGAGATATTGCCCAAAGATATTGTTTCCAATAGAAAATATTTAAAATTGGCCAGAATCTTTTTACCATATATAATTCAAAGGGACCTAGACATTTTAATAAGGGACATACGGCAGCTGGTGAACTATTTAGGATCACATTGTCACTCAATTGTTTTATATTTAAAGACAACAAATTGGTGTAATACACAGCTGTCAGACTGCAGTCCAATGCAGTATAAAGATAATGAGGAACTATATATGTAAAATATATAAAGTCAAGAAGATCTGATTATACCACTTTAAGTGGATTTGCATAGCAGCTGTAATTTGAGGCTTAAAGGCCAATCATTGACTTCTGATTGTTGTCGGATTTTTGGATACAGTCTTAAACATCTGAACTTATTTTTAGAATTTGTTGTTTTCTTTGAAATCTGCAAATTCTATGATTAAAATTTTGATGCATGGGCAAATGCACTTTACTTTCAACAAATTGGTTTTGATAATATAGAAAAACAAGTATGGTGTTGCAACTGGGGAAATGAACATGTAAAAGAAGTTAAGGTGTTTGTTGTCAAATCAACAGAATACATCTAGCGCATATAGTCTCTTGATTTGGAACATTAAAAGTTCAGTGTTGTTGTTAAGTGTAAATGTGTATCAGAATAAGTATATGTAATTAATGGTTAATATACTTGTATTTATTAATGTATGTATATAAAAGTAGTCACAAGCATATAATATTTGTATACATCTGAAACTATGTGTATCAAGAGTTCATCACTATTGACGTACTCCCACGATACTATAGTATGTTACATACTAAATTTAAATGTACAGTTATATCAATAACGGAATAGAGGAGAATATTTGTTTCATTTTTTATTTCCAAAGGTAGAATCAGAGGTAGCGGTGACAAAATTTAACATGGATAGGTGTGTAAATTCTTTAGATTGATCAATAAAAATATCATTGTTCAAAAGCTATATTTAAATACAGTATTTTAATAGACTTTATGGTTGCTTACGAAATGAACGTTAAACGTTTACTTCTGGATAATGTGTAACCTTTTAATGCTTTTGTACAAGTTCAGAGAGGAGTTTTAAGAAAAATCAAAACCATCGAAAATCATATTTGAAACCATCCCTTTCATTGGTTTGAGGATTTCACGTGATATTCGACATATATTGGAGAGTTTAAGCTTGCAATGTTTTTCACAACGTAACCGCTAACGCAAAGTCCATGACTCAATACAGTAATGAGTATAGCGCGCATACAAAACAAGCGCTAATTAGTCCAATTCAAATACCCGATCAGCTTCAGAGCTTTTTTTCAGAGTTTTTAGACATGGGCTTCCGATTTATCATTATCTAATTGAAAGCCTATGGTTTAGAACTTCACGTTGGTGGCAACGGGAATCATTATACTCATGTCTTTTGCATATTATGCTGGCAATTTTGATTTCGACGCATCAGAGAGTTGAAAGCCCATGGACGCATGTACTAGTATAATGCTTTCTGAAGAAAATGATGATGAGGCAGAACACAAACTCGTCCATAAAAATGGAACTAATCAAAACGATCTGATTTCTGTATCATAACCGTATGCAAATGTCAGTCATCAATTATGGAAACGAGGGCAGTGTTTTGTTTTCAAAGGAATCGGACGTAACGATGACAAAAATTAACATGGATAGATGTGTAAATTCTTTACTATCTTCGTTCAAGAAATAACGAACGCATGCATGTTAAAATATGTATACATAGGTTTTCATGAAGAAGATATACACTTTCTTAAAATGGAATTAAAATATTCTTCTTATATTGACACTTCGAAAACGCTCTCTATCTGTGACTACATGTAGCTATTTACCCATTATACTTTCACTGAGCGAAATCTCTCTAATACATAAACATGCGATTCTCCAAAACACTTACGACACTAATGTGATTGAGATAATCTGTAATGAATTCAAACATACGTGTACCATACATGATCATGATGGGCTGTATAAATAAATCAAGTAATTCTGTTTCTTTAGTGGTAATAAGACAGACTTTTGATTATGTTGACGCGACATATTTTGAAAATTACACGTCCATTCTTAATCAAGTTTTCTCTATCAAACTCACGATATTTATTGACATTTAACTCTTTCAGTTTCAGTACCTAACAAGTTGGCGTGCAGAAAAAATTAGGCACGTAAAACCAAAGATTGGGCCCCAAATTTTGAAAATCTAAAGCCCCATTTTTTTATAATTTGGCTTAAAATAAAAAAGGTCAAAAAGAGCCCAAAAAATGCCCCATAATTGAGGCCCTAACATTTTTTCTTGACCGGATCCTAGAGGGCATGTCTGGGCCTCAGAATGCTAGTCTTGCACTTTCTCCACAGGATAGTGTCTCAGTATCGTGTGATGGAGTATTTTTGTGCTATTTCCAGCGATTGGTGTTCCCTCGGATCCGTGCATTTGTCCTTCCTGTTTTTCACGTCTGTACGTTTGACTTGATCAGGTTTGCACTATTTTGAAAAACAAAATCCCCGGGTGAACAAAACCCCAATGATTCATTTTACTTTTTCGTTCAGTGTGATCATGTGACCTTGAACTTCGCGAATTTTCTGGAATTTGTGGAATTTTCTTCATTTTACTCGATAACATCCATTTATAAGCACACAACTTTACAGACTTGACATTTTGACGCGAGGAAGCAGACAATACAGTATATTTGTATATCTGACGTTGTTATTGGGCCTAACTGACATAAATAAGAGAAAATAATTTTATTTATTTTCACAACAACAACAAACTGAACTGTCAACACTTTTTGGAGAGAATAGAGGAGAAAACTGGACTCAAAAATTTTCTGTTTATGTAACAACAGATTGCTCAAAAGCTAATAATGGGTAAAGATTACTACAATATTCTTGGCATTGCGAAGACTGCTACTGAAGATGAAATCAAGAAGGCGTATCGCAAAATGGCGCTGAAGTATCATCCAGATAAAAACAAATCACCAGGTGCTGAAGAAAAATTTAAAAACATATCAGAGGCATACGATGTATTGCATGATAAAGAAAAACGTGGAATTTACGACAAATATGGCGAAGAAGGATTAAAAGGTGGAATGAATGGTGGTGGACCAAGTGGTGGGCCAACTGGCGGAAACTTCCAGTACACCTACCATGGTAATCCACATGAAACATTTAAGATGTTTTTTGGTGATGAAGATCCGTTCCAATTCTTCTCATTTGGTGGTCAGGGTGGAATGCCTGGAGGAACGAGCAGTAGCCGAAGGGTATTCACTAACTTGGGTGGAGAACATGAACATATGGATACTGATGATGATCCATTTGCCAGCATGTTCGGAGGTGGTAGACACGGTATGGGAGGCCATGGTATGCCAATGGGTGGGATGCCTCAGTCTCATATCCGTAAACGCCAAGATAAACCTATAGTACATGAACTGAAAGTATCTCTCGAGGACATTTATAAAGGTACAACTAAGAAAATGAAAATAACTCGCAAAGTAATACAGCCTGGTACTAACCAGCCTATGGCTGAAGACAAAGTTCTGACAATAGACATTAAAAAGGGTTGGAAGTCCGGGACTAAAATTACCTTCCCTAAAGAGGGTGATCAAACTCCTAATAATATACCTGCTGATATAGTGTTTGTGATAAAGGATAAACCACATCCTACCTTCACACGAGATGGCAGTGATCTACGCTATAAAGTTAAAATAGGACTTAGAGAGGTATGTATACAATTTTAAAATAAGTACAAATGTAGATTTTAATGAGATAACACAGTTAAAGATGTAAATTTAAGAGCAAAAATGGCATAGTAAAGAGTCGTAGAGTCACATTATTGATGCAGTGAGGCCAGGCCTATAATTGTCTCCACTCCAATATCATTAATCAGTATTTATCACAACTTTAATTGCTGATGGTTGTTTTAAACCACTATAGCTGTCTAGGCAACACAAATTAAGCTTATTTAGATGTTTTCGCAGATGAAAATACATGTATACATGTAATGTTTAATTTGGAGAAAGACACATTTTTTCATTGAATTCTGGCTCAAAGGACGATTCTCGGTTTGGAGAACAGTCTCCTGGGCTAATAATTTTTTTCATGAAAAATATAGAAATATTACCCAAATTAAACTATGAATATTCAAAAGAGGACATTTAAATCTACAAGATGTAAAAATGACAAATTGGTCTGAAGCAGGGATAACGATCAATTAGACCGATTCAATAAAATACAAGTCTCGATTTGGGGAAAGAAGTTCATAAGTGTACTGCGCTAATATTTTTTTGCGAAAAATCTAGAAATATTACCCAAATTAAATTATGACCATTCAAAAGAAGACCTTCAACTCTATATTAAGTAAAAAAATCAAATTTGTCCGAAGCAGGGATAATGCTCATTTATATTGATGAACTTCGTTCTCCAAACCGAGAATCGTCCTTTTCACAATCGTGTCAACTCCAGTTTACTCTGCAACTTGCACCACCACTGATTTTTTATTTAGATTTATGCCAGGCTGACTCCAAATTATAGTTCACATGATATTAAAAATGTTTCAAACTTTGCTCGAGATGTGAAGCATTAAGTGCTAAGTTTGGAAACAACGCCCAAGTGGAATGAATCAGCTACAATGCATTGAGTCTTAGGCTTAAATCACATATTTCATATGGATATTAAACAGTATCTGTCCGCCTTTTTTGTTGAATATATAAGAGGGAGGGAGTGAATAGAGCAGCCAACTTGAATTACGAAATTGATGTACTCTGAAAATGACATTGGGTGCATTAAAGAAGTACATTTATGTTTATGTTAATTCCTTTATTACCATTTTATTTAACACATACTTTTTCATATTTCAGGCTCTTGTTGGAACTACTCTCCAAATACCAACAATAGATGGCAAATCAAGACAACTAAGACTATCAGAAGTAATACGTCCAACAACTAAAAAACGCATTATGGGGGAGGGCCTTCCACTACCAAAACAACCAACTAAAAGAGGAGATTTAATCATAGAGTTTGACATTAACTTCCCAGAGACTTTGCCTCAATCAACCAAAGAAATATTATCAGACTGTTTACCTGTTTCACGCTATAATTAAGTTTTATGCCAGTAAGGTTGGTCAAAACATCAATTTTTTGCAAAAACATTTTAACAAGAGATTAGACCCCATCTCCATGAAGGTTGATTTTAATGTCAATTCTTGAACAGCTTTGGGTTTACTTCTTTCTATCCAATATGTCTGAGCTGTTTTATTAAAATTTATACAGATAAAAATATGGCATTGATGTCTGTATGCAATTATTACATTGAGATTTTTTATTGGTGCTACCTATTATTATTGAGTATAATACTAGTCCATGTACATTCTTACTAAACCACATCCGTACATGATATTGTAGTTCTAAAACAATAATTGATCCGATTAAACTGCCATCTTTTATTAATATAAACATTATTATTAGCATTATTGCAGCACATTTGTCCATTAAAGCATGGGCTTTCAACTAGAATCTAATTGAAAGCCCATGCTTAAAGCATTTAGTGATGACAAAACAAAATATTGATGTTTTGACCTGGCCTTTAGCAAATGATATACTATAGTACGTGTAAATGATTTGCAATGTTACCATGCTTGTGATAATAGCATTTTGTTTTAGTTAAAGATGAAGTTAGATTATTGAGATAACAAATATACATATTCATGTAAAATAAATTTTACATGTAGCACATATTATCTGGATTGTTTGTTTGTGCTTGTACTCTTATATTAAGAGCTACAGTGCTGTGTGTCTCATGTGTGTTCTCTCCCCTTCTCACAATTATACATCTTGCATTGCAACCATATCATCTGATTGACAATTTAATCTGGCATAAAAGTTACTTTACCATGAAATGGTTGGAAACATTTATGAAAAATATCCAGTTAACTTGTAACTATGTAAGCTAATTCATGTCTTTTAGGCAGAGTTGGGAACTGTCCATGGAGATTGACTTTTCATAATAAATAATGAGTTGACTAACACGCTTTAAGGACTGTGCAACATCTATGTTAATCTAATGTTTGTTAAAAAATGGTTAGCGAAAATATTTCAGGGAGGTTGACAGATCTGAAACACTTTTTACATGTACATAATGTATTGGATAATGTAAATTCATAAACTCTAGATGAGGATGAAGTGTATATAGCCTAAAGTTGATTTGTCCACTTTTCAGTATCATATGCCAGATGGTTGGGTCTTAGAAAGTTGTTTTGCAATATAGGCCTACAATAGACTTTACAATGAGACTGCTCAGTGTAGTTGTAGTTTTGTTTAAATTGTATGTTATGTAGACCTACAACCATACACTGTTAAAGTACAATAAATTAGTATTTTATAATTATATGAGAATTTCTGAACTTGGTATGTTTTCCCATGCAATTAAAAATGAACTGAGCATTTTATATTTTGATAAAGTCTCAAAATGGCCTTGTGCATCAAATGTATTTGATGACGTGTTAATGTGTATGTTAGCATTTACATGTAATAATAAAAAAGTATCAGCATTTGACAGTCACTTTGTGACATAGCAGTAATCCTATAATCTGAGTAGGAATAAATAAATTAAACTGTTAGAATAGTTTACAAAATTAAACTAAAACCATGATGATTTATTTGTTACTAGAATAGTATTAAATTACTTGAAGAAGAACAGTTGTATGAAAAGTAGGAAGAGTAAAGCTTTGATCCAAGACAGTTCAAATGACCCATGTACATGTAGTATGAAATGAAATTAATCATCCAACAATTATTTAGACTACAGTACAGATTCTGGAAAATCTGGAGTCTGTTGATTTTGCCTGTATTCTTATTCTTCTGAGTACGACTTCTGGGTAAATCTATTTATATGGTCAGTTGCAATCGTTGTTATGGTTTATTATGGTTTCTTTTTCATCGTGTACCTCAGAAAGATACCCTTGGAGTGTGTTCCATTCGGATTTTGATTACTCGTATGTATTTTGAAATAAAGTGTCCCAAAAAAAGTAAAAAGTTCTCCAAATCTATCGAAATTGGTATTTTAAAAGAAAATTTGCTCAATATTCCAAATCTGAAATCGAAATTGAGATCTGACTTACGGTTGACATTCTATTACCTTCTAAAGAAAAAAAGTCAATTTTTAAAAAGTTTATTTCCACTTTAAAGTAAGTTAAAACAATATAAGAGGACTAAGAAAGTCATTCAACTCAAAATTTTAAGTGTCAAGGGTCAAAATCTAGGTCATTTTTTATTCTATCTTTCGCGGTTATCAATTCATTTTTAAATTCTAAATATGAATGGAATTGTGGCAGGTACAAAAACTATTCATATTTTCAACGAGTTGCCCATAAAATAGTTGGTTAATCTGGAAGCCGACATCTGAAAGACTTTGCATTTGCGAATACTAAGTCACCATGAAAATTCATCAACTTTGAGTTTGACTTCCAAAAGGGTGGATAATCTATCATCATTGGTATTAATTTGAGAAGTCATTTGCTCAGAAATCCGAAACGAAATCGAAATTGAGATCAGAATTCTCACAACCTTCTATGAGCTTTTTCTAATTACAAAAATCACCTTTTTAATGTGACTTTTAAATAAGTTGAAGCGATATAAGAGGACTTTCAAAGGTCAGTAAATCACATTTTTGAGGGTCAAAGTCAAGGTCAAAATCGAGGTCATTTTTCCTAATTTTCGCATTTACCACACTACTGTTCAATATTTTGCTTTCTAACTTGGTAAGAATAGAACATTTACATTTTCTTTCTCATTTTCTCATGAATATCAAATGTCAAAATCGTTTTTTAAATAAAAAGTATGGAGTCTTTTTTTTGTTCTCTGTCCATCGTCTATGATGCTTTTTCTAACATCCCCAGGGGCCATATTTCATCCCTCCTGGTGGTTGTTTTTTCGCATGAAATAAGTATCTGAAGGAATGTATAAAAGATAATATGATTGTGCTAGACGTAACATAAGATTCATGTTATTGCAATGAACCTGACAATCTACCGAGATTACCTGACATTAGTTTGTTTGTGAATGATCGCGTTTTTAACTGGTATAATAATCAAAATAACATAACTGACTAGATACATTCAAGTATGTAAAACATTATTGTTAACTTTATGGATGCAGCACAAAAAAGTAAGCATATTTATTTCACACAAATGGCATCATTAAAACTATTAAAAATGTTTCTTTGTCAAAACAAGGTTATAATCCATATATATCAATATAGATAGTGTCATTATTTAAACTAATGGCAATCACTATATCACCAATCAACGAAATAAAATAATAATTAATGCTGAAATCGTTTTCTACGGGGGATGTTTTATCAGTTTTATATTGAATATTTGTTTTAATAAATACTATTTTGTGAATCTGTTGTAGTGGGATGCTTTAATATATATTTTGAAAAGACCAGGTATGGTATGGCGTATGATTTTTAGAGTCATATATTTGACCAAAACGTTATTTCTTGTTAAATTATTTTATAATTTTATTAGAATAATATGCTTTCTTCAAAGCATGGGCATTCAGCAGAGTCTCTTAAAAGCCCATGTTCAAAGTAAAGTTATCAAGATGATGACAATATCAATCCATCCGTTCGAAAAACCATTGTTTAGGACTTCATCTTCCTTTTTCCATTTCAACCTGATAAAAAGTTTTGCACTATCTCCGAGTTACTAACTTCAGAAAGAGGATCGAATGGCGTTGAAATAAGACGTAGTATCCATTGTTTTCAGGCTATTTTCTATTGACCAAAATTCAGTATCTTCACCCTTGGTATACGCAGCTAACGAAAACTGACCGGTACGGGTCAAAAGATAGACCGGTACGGGTTAACGGTTTTATTTGGATTTAATACAGCCATAACTTGCTCAATATTGACTTCCTCGTGTCTAATTTGAAATATATGATGCCTCCCGATGCTTTTAAGTACCCCAATTTTTTACAGATTTGTAAACGGACCAAAACTCTCTAAATGCGCATTTATGCTCTTTTCTCTCGAGAACGACTGTCTCATTTTCACCGGTTATATTGCCCCGAACCGGTCCGTCTTCTCGCTGCAAGCAGGAGGAAATTCTTTGTCACAAAGTTTGGCATTTTTTATAAAATCAAACGCGCGTCATTGAAACTCACAAGATGTAAATAGCATGTCATTTACATCATACCTTGATGGGGAAAAATATATCTTACATGTTAGAAGTACTAAATAAAATTTATCTTGCAAGTTTCCTGACCCATGGCCATAGAAAGAACATTTTGAATCAAATCCTAACGTAACCCAAGATGCAACCAAGATTAATCGTTGCACCATACCAGTCCAGCTTTTTGCACCGCTCCAGTCCGTTGTTGAATGCGCCATATCCAAGGGTGATAATAATTGTGGGAGTTAGACATAAGCAGAGTGCACTAATACAGAGGCTTGATAACAACTAGTAGACATGACGTACATTATTGAGATGTCGATTCTTGCCTTCATGTCAATGTCAGGTATGTAAAACTACATACACTAATATTTTAATATGACACTACTACACAGAATGAAACTTCGATAGTTTAGCATAAAAGATCTGATCAAAAAAAATTAAAAAATTGAATATTTTGAAGGTTAACCAAATGAAGAGGTTTATCCACATACGTGTATTATAAGCGGATATCCTCATACGTGTATTAAATTAAAGAATTGTCACAACTTTTACTTTTGATTTTTTTCTTTATGTCATGAATTGAAGATATGTGAAATAAATAATATACTCTGATATCCACAGCCACTGGTGATCCACTCGATTACGCTGAACCGTTTCGGTAACAAAATGTCGGAACATCGAAAGCGATTTTTCTTTTTTCCTTATTTCACAACTTGTATGCAGAATTCTCACGACATTTTTAACACAAACGTGAATTAGTAACATATGTTTAAGAAAATGTACACATTTGCGAACAAATAGTTCAGAAGACAACAGAATGGTCGATTAATTCCTCACTTAAGTTACAGAAACCGTATTTCGAAAAAACAGTGCTTCTGTTGTCTTCTGACGATACTGATACACGTTTTTGAGAAAAAAAACTCGTGGGGATTCTGCCTAAAACGTGTGAAATAGGGGAAAGAATCGTACCTTCGACGTTCCGACATTTTGTTACCGAAACGAACCGTTTCGTTTATTTGTGCTACAAACAAGATAATAAGAGATTCTTTAATTGGTTTAAGTAAAACTTTAAGATTCTTCAAACAATTTCAAACAGTTTTTCATGTATTTGTAGCCGCTCAGTGGACGTTTTCTGACCACCTACCTACAGTCAAAAATAATACTCTCGGATATTGTTTTCATTATCCTACGTAGGATCCGCTAAAGTATATGTGCAGTATGGCAAGTGATTTTAGACGGTCATATCTTTCACCATGGGTACTTTCTGGCCATCGTTATAGTGGTTTTTATTAAAACAATTACATGTTTTCTTTCAAGTGAAGTCCCCATGCTAGTAAAATATCAATCTTAACTCTCTAAAATTTATGAATTAGGACCCTACCTTGGCACTTTTTAGAAATGTTCATTTTCTAAAAAGAGGATCTTGTTTTTCTCAATTTAAACACATCGGAAGTTTCTTCTACACTATATTAACAATTTCTGAAAAGGGGATGCGTATTAAAATCTGTTAAACTTAAAAAACCCATATCCCATATTATTTTCCCATGTAGGGAAAACTCATGCTATCCATTGTTTTCAGTAAAATTTTGGTCATCGAAAATTGATATCTTCAAAACTAGACTTTCAATACCATTCTAGTTTTGAAGAAGTTTTAGATCCCTTGTTGAATGATCTTTTCATGCAATAAAAACCAGAAAAAGAAGATCATCATTTGAGTAAATAGGTTCAACATTTTTGTTGTCCCTATTTATAATTTTTGAATTGTTGATATTTTTATCATCATGGGTACTTCACTTGAAAGAAAACATATTGTTTTAAAGTTCCCATATAAAGTTTAAACCACTTTGGCTTAAATGGTAGTCTTACCCAATGTTATCAAAGTGTGATATGTGAAAACTGAGTGAGTCATAATGACATCACTAATGTTGCAAAATATTTTTGATATGGCCCTTTGAATAAATATGGCATTTTATTTTTGAAATAGTGTGTCCTTTGTTCAATCTATGCATTGATGTTAAAAAGATAATCTTTTTCGAAATGTATGAAGAAATATTTGATGAATAAAAAATTTCAACTTTTTTGAAAATGGCGGGAAATTTGAAAATTTGAGAAATGAAATGCTCACAACTTTTTTCAATTTTTTTTTCAAAAATCTCTAAAATAACTTTTCAAATTATGATAAATAGTATCATGACCTCCAATATGATTATATAATTAAATATATGAGAAATGGCACTGATTATTCAGATCTTAAATTGAAAATATTTGATTTTTAATAAATCATATATCATTCAGTGGCAGAAGTTGCTGCTGGCTCATCATGTCTCCAAGAATTAGAAAACGATATAGCTGCCATGAAGAGGGATATAGAAAAACTCAATGCAATAGCTTTCCCCGGGGTTGCAAAAAGTGAGTTAAACCAAGCCCAAAGTGAAAAATATAAATCCGATTGTTCAACACATTTATCTCTGTATAATGACATGACGTGCCTGGCAGTATATTGTAATAAGCAGTGCGCAGTTTGATAGTTGTAATAATTATTAATAAGTTATCATCAAATGAAAAGGGTCCAAACATTTTGTCTCACCCTGTAGGTGAGTGTATTGGCGAATTCTTGGTGACTAGCGAAACCCACATGATTCCTGATAGCAGCCTGACTGCTTCAACGGTACACTCCGCAGGGCATGGCACCAGCAAATTAAGACTTGGGTGAGCTGGTGAAGACCATTCTTTCTATGCCACTTACATCTCATGGCTGAGAAGAAATGAAATATCATGCGTTTATCATGCTGGTTGAAAACTAAAATACAGAGTTGAAGCTACTTCTGCACGTATTCAGTGCGTCATTTAACAATCGGACGATTGGACCTTCCTAGTTTTTTCCATGCGTTTATAGCGATGACTAAAGCATGGTTCTCATGCAATTGAAAGCATAACTGATTATTGATTCATTAAACCAATCCTAAAGATTTGAACTAATGCTTCTCTCACGTGGACCTTTTGGTTGTTTTGAAACATTTTGTTTACTTGTGTGACTATAAATATTCTACGTATTCTTTCGAAAAATTATTGTAGTAAGCGACATTCACCTCCTGTCTTGTTTATTACTTGTAGAGGAACTGGTTACTGGGCTCCGAAGGTAAATGATGAGAACCAGTGGATTCAGGCTGACTTAGGCGAAGAGATGCAAGTTTCTGGTGTGGTAACACAAGGCGCAGGTAGACTTCCCGAGTGGTTGAAATCATACAAAATTGCTTACAGCCAACAAGGGACTCAGTTTACTGTAGTTGTCAAGAACGGACATAAGGTGGGTTTGGTTGAAATAAATATCTCGGAGCGATTTGCAAAAACACGATCGTGATTTCTACAGTTGTTGAGATGCGTTCAATCGCATCCAATCAAATCCAAGACATAAATAAACCATGGAGATTCTGAATTCTGAATTCACACATAGCCAGGTACACTGTGACTATATTGAAATACTATATATATTGAATATGTATGCAATATTTCAAGACTCAATGTTTAGTAGGAACTCTAAAATCACTTACCTCGATTTGCTGTTATATTTTTGTAATGACCCCATTCCCTATAATGTACGCGAGCACTTACGATACATTACGTACATGTACATGACTGCATCCACATATTTCGACTATCCACAGTGAGGCAAGGTATGTCCAATTCTAGCCAATCAGAACGTACTATTTCATATAACTGCATTGAAATATACTACTCTAATGTACCCAAGGTCAATTCATAGTTGAATAAAAATCTATAAACAGTATCAGAGTGAATAACAAGCTGCTAAGTGCTTACGCAGGTCAAAATGTTAAGGTGCCATGATACTTAACAGGAAATGACGAAGCAGGAAGTGACAAAAAATTTTGCATTTTTTAGACATTTTTTGAACAAAGATAACACAGTTCTGTTTTGACCTCCAGACAATTTAACTATTTCCACATATCATTTACATGACTATGATCACAATGTGTATGGTCAGAATGACCCTCAACATGATGAAATAACCTTTTCAGCCCTTTGAAAATGTGACTGAAAAATAGCTAAAAGTAGGAGATAGGGAAGGTCACTGAAGAGAATCTTTTGAATTTTTCAGAAAATGTGCCCAATGTAATGCTCTAACTGGTTCAAGAAAATGTCTAAAAATGCAAAATTTTTTGTCACTTCCTGTTTTATCATTTCCTGTTAAGCATCATGTTAAGTGTTGAATGTTTCTTTTTAGTAGGAGTGTAGGATTGCAATATAACATGAACGGCAAAAACAAAAATAAAATAACATGCATTCAACAAACTAGAGCATTCAATTATATTTTAGATATTCCGTGGTAATAAGGATGCTTCTACACCAGTATTGAACATGTTTTCGGCTGTTCGAGCAAGATACATACGCATCATACCAGTGGTTTGGCAACAACATATTGTCTTACGATTTGATATCATCGGATGTCACGATTGAGAAATATGATCAGGAAATCTACATTAAACTGATATTAAATATTAAATAATAATTTGAAATTTGAGGATAACTTTGATGGAATTTATACAGGAAGGAAAGTTAGGGTGGGGATTTATATTCAAAGGAAGTCCTCCAGTTGTTTCATCGAGGGTGACTTCTGGGCCTTTTACTGTAAGGGATCTGCTCCAGTTTTTCCATACACAGGAAGGGATGTACGTGTGCTCAAGTGGTTCATAGCAGGAAACATTTGATTGATCAGATGTGTTCCAGTTGTTTCTATGATGTAGGGAAACTGATTTGATTTATTATACTGTACATGTGTTTCCGAAAGCGATCTCTTGAAGGGTAACGCATGACCATAATGGGAACTGCACCAGTTGGATGTATAGGATTAATATAGGAAGTGGTGTGCCCAGTTATTTTATATAGAGGTATCAAAGGGGTGGAAATGGAAACTTTCAAGGGGAGGGGGCAAATTTCAAGTCTGAAAAAATGTAGGCCCCTTAAACAAAAAAAAATTTAAGGTCCAGTTTCTTGAGAATTTGGCTTGAAAATTTCCGTACTTATATACCCAATCGGCCAAGTAAACAGTACAAATGGGACAACTACTCCACAGAGGATCATTATTCTACACATTCACGAACTTGTGAAAAAACGTGTATCTTAACCTTCCCAATGATATAATCTATGATGTGCTCCAATAAGAGGAGCTTCAGAGGTTTCATGGAGCTCGGCAGAAATGTATCATCTCCAGGAAATGGTAACCTCAATGACAATGAAATAGTACAATCCTGAAAGAAAGATGTCACTGCTAAAGTTTGTCAATTGCACTTTCCATTGCGTGCCGAGATGGTAAAAACGAGATATCGTTTATGGATTGATCATGCTTTTTATTGTTTGACAGGGACACTTAATTATGTACTCAACCATTCACCAAAAGGCCAAAAACGGGGACCAACATCACAGTTACATGCATTTTATTAGGTATGAACAAAATATCTCCAATAGATGAGGTATGCCACCGAGTTATATATCTCACTGGCTTTGTACCACCCCGTTACCAAGGTAACGCATCTTCAGGCATCTTGCATTAAAATCTTAAATATTTTGAAACGCAATCACTATTTGGACTAAAAGGTGGTAGTGATATGATATCAGAAGTACATCCTGATAGAACTTTGCTATTAGAATCAGAATCGAGGCAAACACTGTTTTGCGTTTCTGCATACGATTTGTGACCTATACTATTTGGTTAAGAACTGAGAAATGGACTGAAAAGTGAATTCGGATTCAAAATTGACCAGTATTGACAACGTTTGATATAATTTTAAGTGAGGTGACGGCCACTATTGTTATACATGTATCGGCTGAAAAATGAAGGGGCCATTGACAATGACACGTTGCTTTCTTTCTTTGTGCCTTGGTAGATTTATAATATTGGTTTCAGATGTAATGGTGGGATTCATTTCCTTCCATAAAGATTCTTTTTGGCTATTGCGTTTGCATAACAAAATATCATTAGATTCGGTGATTTATTTGGCTGTCGATGAGATCTAATATCTTTAAATATTGTAATCAATTCATTTCTCTTGAATAGAAGAAAATCACACAAAGGTCAAGTTCTTTAAATAATTCTATATATGATTCTCGGTATATACGAACTGTAAAAGGATGGTCTTACCCTTTCTAAGATCTGAGGTATTGCGTTTAGTAAGAGAGGTTCGCTCTTTTTGAGACAATCACAATACAGTTTATTTTTCTTTTCAGAATCTTACTGTTACACCAGTGAAGTTCTGCAGTCCATTCATTTTCTGCCTTCATAAGTAGCTGAAACCCCAACTGTGAAGGGTCAATGTTGTATCCACCGTGGCTGTTGGATCATCATGATCTTACAGGGTGAGCCAAAAATGTAACCCAAACAAAAAATGTTGATAACCCAGTCATTCTGCATCCGGTTTATGATCATATTTGGCAACCTTGTTCAATGTTCGTAAGTCTTATTGGTCTATATCCATTGTCAAGATTCTATTGCCATTTACAAAACATGCTGTAAAATGCCAGTGTCGTGTCTAGGGGCAAAACGCACACGAGCACAGATAACATGTGAATAGCTCTCGCCTTCCTTCTTATATCTTGATTCAATGTTTTACGGGTTGTTACTTGTTAGTGTAGACATGAGCCCCAAAGATAAAAATTCTGAGGGTATTTATATCCGATGGATGTGGCACATTTCGGTTGTTGGGGTATGTTTTGTAAATCGCCATAAAATCGTAATCATTAGGTAGTAGAATGATAGAACATTGAACATGGTATAGTTTGCGCCAAATAGTAAATCAATGCTGAGATATTAACAAACATTTGTTTAGTTTACCTTTTTTGGCTCACCCTGTAAAATATAGCATCTCGGACTTCCAAGGTGGTCATAACACAGCAACTGAAACCTTGAGAATCAATTTTGTTGATAAAGCCTGAAATGCAAATTAGCTAGCTACTAGTTAGATGGATTTAGTAATTACAAGCCTTTGGGCGTCGGGGTAGGCAAAGATAGATAGTGGTAAAATGACTGAGTAATCCTTCTATGATTAATGGTAAGAAATGGGTGACATTACTTCGTGCTAATAGGTGTTTTTATTCCCATGTCAGAGATGGGATTACCTTGTTCACTTGCCTATGACAGGTGGATCTAGACTTTTAGATGTTGGTATGGTTGAGCAATGTATAACTGTTTATGGGCGGTCAAATTTAGAAATACGTACATTGGAGAAGCACCCAATTAAAATGGTTTTAGGTATTTGATACGCAAAATGAAGAAAATTAACTATCTTCTTCACAAGATGTGAATCGAAATCGGGTCCGATCTTGCAATGGCTTACTATTTCTAATCAAATTAAAATCTCATTAAAAGGACAGGAGGCAACGTCCAAGTTTGGGCATACTGTTAGATGCTGGAAGCAAATGGAATGTTTTGTGATTGAGGATTTGTGAAATGTGAAAACAAGTGTTTCGTTAATTTGTTCAGCTGTGTTAACACCAGCAGATGAATTGCATGTTATTACCAAATTACTTGTAGCAATGAAAACAATGACACGTATCCTGTTAGGTTCCGATTACTCCCGAAGGAGAAATGTCATCGAGAAACAAACATGGAGTATTTTACGGGGCGCATGAAATAACGACGTTCTGTAATAATCCAGCTGATGCTGATCGTGAAGTAATACGATGAAAAAACAGCAAGAGGAGATTCTTTTTTGTAAATTAGAAACAGAATGTCAATGAATAGATGTGTCCACTTAATCTTGGCGGGCCTCCATGCATGCGACATGATTTCCCCAAAGTGTAGGGGTGATCGCTGTATAGAGAGTTCCCCAGACGGGAAATCAATATCTCTCTCATCCTCCTTACATGTATCATTCAATTTCACAAATGTTATTTGCCGAAAAATATTGTTTTGATACAGTGAGGGTGTGAGATTAAAAATGAAAGCGTATCATGCAATTTACGCGTTAATCTAATAAAACGGTACTTAGGAAAAGTACTAAAGCAGGGGAGATTCCACTCAAGTGATCTTGGTTGCTGGGTGAAAGAGACCGAGCAATTCACTGAGGCACTTCATGTATAATATGATCTATTATGCCATGGTTGAAGGGTACTGTTGAGATGATGTCGTAATCAATTCCCCTGGATCAACCCGTCTGGGATCAACATAAACTGTTTTCAATTTGATCAGCTTCTGATCGTATCATCGGGTCCTTGTTCAAGTACAGAATGTATATTTGTGAATTCAAACTCAACGCGTGAACCATTTTCGAGCAGATCAACCATGGACTGGTCCACAAACTGCAAACAATCATCTTTATCTTGGGCATTTTTCTTTTTTTAAACACGGATCGAAAATCATGAATTTATTTCATCTGTTATTTGCTGAAGCGATATTCGATTTATATAACTTTTATGCATGGTTTGTATATTTTATTATTAGCCTCTTGCAAATTATGAATGTATTTAAGATATTAAAGGACATCGAAAAATTCATATTTTGCGCGCAGAGTCTAGTTATAAACGAAGCTCTCTTTAAGGAGCGACGTCGAACGAATGCAAAGGGTAAAAACTGCATCGTAGTAGCATAGGAGGCATTATTTCTTTTAACTTTACATGTATTTAATCAAATATGCATGTAATATTTCATCAAACCGAAATTTCAGCCACTCCCGCTTCTGAAAAAGCCAAAGTAAAAAAAAGAAAAACGTCCCGTCGTTTTGCTTGCACGAAGCTGGTTTGTAGGCATGTACGAGGGGCATTTGAAAAGTTTGTTTCTTTTTGCTCCCAAAATACCGGGAATGATCAGAACAAGTCCAAATTTGCAGGATGTATAGTATGAATATTTATTATTAAGCTGTGAAAATTATAGCATGTAATATCCTATAGCCACAGTTCTACATTCATTTGAAATATACTTGTCTCGATATCGTGGAGCAGTTTGAATGTGGATACTTTTGTCACAATCAATATATCCAACCATAATGTGCAGTCTATGGACCTACTATCTTATCATTGCCACATTAAGTCAGTAGGACTAATTAGGGCTCTCTATCTCCTTCGTTCGAAGTATTCTCCCTCAAATATAATGCACTTTCTAAACCTCCGTATCCAATCCATATAGAGATTTACCTGTTCAATTATTGTCTTCACTAAATCCATGTTTTCTTTCAATATCGCTGTCCTTTTTACCTGCTTCTTGGCTCATCTTTGATGGTTGAGATACCTTTCTTGAACATGTTGAACCAGCTTCTTATCATGGGATAGGAACAACAAGTGTCTTCATATGTAGCTCTACATGTTCTTACGGTGTCCTTTAAGTCTATTTCTTGTTTTACACAGATTTTAATGCAAAGTCTCTGCTCGTTGATAAGTTCATTCACCATTTTGCTCCACTGTTTGGAAAAACCTGCTCCACCAAAAGTTTAGTGAATAGAGAGAGTCTATTTTGACGGAGGTTTATGACATCACACTGACAGCACAGTGAGTCCATTCACCTGTATAACACTATTACACCACTAGCTTTTTGCTATG